AAATTTCCCTGGAAGTTTGGAGTCGGATCACAGGACGCGAGTGATGGACGGGGTGATGGGGGACGGACGGCCGCCCCGACGCCATCGCCCGCACCGACGGCTGCGCCGACAGCTGCGCCGACCGTTTCCCCACCAGCAGCACCGACTGCTGTGCCGACGGCAGCGCCAACGATGGCGCCAACCGCATCCCCTACAGATGCACCGACAGCCGCGCCGAGTGCAGCACCTACAGCTGCACCGACCGCTTCCCCAACGGCTGCACCGACAGCTGCGCCGAGCGCAGCACCGACAGCTGCACCGACCGCTTCCCCAACGGCCGCTCCGACAGCTGTGCCGAGTGCAGCACCGACGGAGGCACCGACCGCGTCCCCAACGGCAGCACCGACAGCCGTGCCGACAGCAACGCCGACCGCTTCCCCAACAGCAGCACCGACTGCTGTGCCGACGGAGGCGCCGACTGTTGAGCCGGGTGTGCCGACTGCAGTACCCACGGAAGCACCGACCGCTTCCCCAACAGTTGCACCGACAGCCGCGCCGACTGCAGCACCGACGGCGGCGCCGACCGCTTCCCCATCAGCTGCACCGACAGCCGTGCCGACAGCAGCACCGACGGAAGCACCGACCTTTTCCCCATCAGCTGCACCGACAGCCGGGCCGACAGCAGCACCGACCGCTTCCCCGACAGCATCACCGACGACTGCACCGACGGAGGCACCGACCGCTTCCCCAACGGCTGCACCAACAGCTGCGCCGACTCTTGCGCCGACTTCTTCGCCGACCGCTGCGCCGACGCCTGGTTCTGTGCACATGTGGGCGGCCATTTCGGGCCCGTGCACATTGGACGGCGCCTGTGTGCAGAGCGCGAACTATCCGCAGGCTTATAATAACAACGAGGCGTGCACGATTGAGATCGACGCGGAGAACGCAGCACCGATCGTCGTGGAGGCTTTCAATGTAGAATGGTACTTCGACTACATCGTTATCGACGGATGGAAATATTATAGTGGAAGTTCGGGTCCGTCTGGATTCACACCGTCATCCAGTATCGTGTGGTCGTCCGACTTCAGCGTTACGAGGAGTGGATGGAAATTTTGCGTACCAGTGTCAACACCTGCACCCCCTCCGACAACAGCACCAACGCCTGCACCGACCTCTGCGCCGACTCCCGCACCGACAGCTGCGCCGACTCTTGCGCCCACTCCTTCGCCAACCGCTGCGCCGACGCCCGGTTCCGGGAGCATGTGGGGGGCCATCTCAGGACCGTGCACGTTGGACGGCGCCTGTGTGCAGAGCCCGAACTATCCTCAGTACTACAGCAACAGCCAGGCTTGCACGATCGAGATCAACGCGGCGAACGCAGCACCGATAGTCGTGGAGTACTTCAATGTGGAGTCGTACTTCGACTACCTCCTCGTCGACGGCTGGAAGACCTTTAGCGGCAGGCGCCGCCGTCCGTCTGGGTTCACACCGTCATCCAGTATCTTCTGGTCATCCGACTTCTCCGTGACGAGGCGCGGTTGGAGGTTGTGCGAGCCAGATCGCCGCCTTCTGGAGGAGGCCCCAGCGCCCGACGAACCAGCCTTCCTGATTTAGCAAGTTCGTCAGCACACGACACTCTGGTTTTTGCCGTTTTCCGCGCCGGCTTAGTGGACGAACCAGCCGCACACGGCTTCGATAGCTCTGTCAAAAGACTTCATCAGCTTTAACTTCGATCAACCTCGATAGTTTACTAGTCATGACGTCGATAGCTTCGATAGGCGATGTTCTTTACACCGACCTCCCAGAGAGCGGATGGCTCCTTCTCTGCCGTGTCGGCACGGCGAGGAGTCCATGGGAGCGTCGCAGCGTCGTTCGAGGATGCTTAGACGCGAGACTACCTCATCCTCTGCCAGCCGACGATGGTGCATTTTCGATCTGCTCGCGACAGTGCTGTTTTTGTTTTCCGCGCTCGTGGGCGCCAGTCAAGTTCACTGAGCCTCGGGGCTATTCCCCCCTCCTTCCTGTGCCCCTCTCCTTCCCTTCCCCATGGTCAGGGGCTGCGGTGCCTGATCCGGGGTGTGCTCGCGTTGTTGGGTGTGTAGCTCGGCCCCTCGGGCATGGCCAGAACGTGCCTTCTCTTCCCCATCCTGACGCCTGCGGCGGCTGGGGCGCGGCTCGGGAGCAGTAATTCTGGTTGTCAGTTGCTCGCGACTCGCGCTGCAGTGCCAATGCAGGAGAACATCTGGCCCGCAGGCTTTTTCCTGTTTGGTGGCCACCCGCCGGTGGACACCGCAGCGAGTGCGCTCCTACCGCTTGCTGGGCGGGGATGGAGCCGCACTGGCGTCCTGCCTCTTGCGTGTTGCAAGGATGGCGTGTCGAGCGGAGCCGTCTTGGAAAAGCATGAGAGAAAGAGGGTCCCGCGACAGCCCAGGGGGCCCGCGAGGGCCTCAAGACGGTCCACGGTGGTCCCGAGACGGCTCAAGGGCGCCCGAGGACGTCCAAGATCGCCCCAAGGTGGCCCAAGAGTTTTCCGAGACGGCCCAAGAGGGCCCTAAGAGGTCTTCAAAAGGGCCCCGACAGGCCCCAGGGGGCTTGGAGGGGGACCTGGAGGGGAGAGTGGAGAGGGGCGTGGAGGGGGGGGGAGGGTCTGTTGGAGGGGGGGGGGGGGCAGACTCCAGGGGAGAGGGTAGGGAGAAGGGTTTGATTCAGAAGATGGGAGAGGAGATGCCCTAGACCACCTCCGCCCAGAGGGCTAGTGGGGTTATCTGCTGCCCATCACTTGCACGCGAAGATTACACCACAGAGACTGCACGACATAATTCGAGCCACATATATTCTGCCACAAGTACTGCAGAGGCCAGCCTGCAGTATGTAGCTGGCACTACATAGTTTGCAGATTGCGCCACCTAAAACGAATAATTCACCACGCAAATATGATACACCACGCTGGATCACGCTGTTTACCTTCTCTCCTACGAGGAGTCGGATCTATCCCCTGCCTGGAGGCCGCGGCTAGCGCCCCCCTCCGCATATAATGTGTCCGTGTTGTTCGTGCCGATGTCAATCTTGCAGAGTAGTTCACGCCAGTCAGCTCGCGGACACCTCCCTCCTCCCGGTAAAATAACGAGATTCGGAGCACTCGCTTTGATTATATAGGTTTGCGCCACATACGCCGACCCCTACATAAACTACTGCGCCTCCTGGACTGCATTTCACGAGGCTTGTCAGAATCATGACACGGCGCTCGACATCGTTTTTGTTGCTTCGTTGCTGTTATCGTACCTCTTGGTGCTCTTCTGTGCCCTTTTGGTGGCATCTTGGCCTGTCTGCAGGCCACATCCGGCCGCCTCGAGGTTTGGGCCATCTTGGTTGCCTTGGTTGCCTGCCTGGGCTGTCTTGGAAGCTCGGGACGCGGACGCGCAAACTTCCAACGAAGGACCGTGGCCTCGGGAGTGCGGCTCCCATGTTAACAAAATGCCAGGGCTCGTGGCCTCGGGGACAGGGGGCATGGCATGGGCTAGTCTGGCAGCAGGGGTGGGGAAGGGGTCCGAATTAGAGCACGCTACAGAGCAGCACTTGGCATTCTAACACGCCCACGTCGTGCAGGCACGATGGCGGATTTTTCGTAGGGCCTGGTTAGGATGTTGAGTCGTTGTTTGACGGTCCCGGGGCTTGTCGAGGGCCCAAAGGGCCGAACATCGTCGCACACGTCCCCTTAGCTCCTGAGGGCGCACCCCTGAGATTTTCATCGCGTCTGGGCTTCCTTGGGGGCTCTCGGGGGCCTCTTGGGGGCTTCCTGGGGGCTTCTTGGAGTCCTTTGAGGTTCTCTTGGGGGTCCCTCAAGGCCTCTTGGGGTGTTCTTGGGTCAGGCTGGGGACGTCTTGGGGCCGAAGGCTCGAAAAGGTGCCCCCTGGACTCCCTCTTGGAGCCGTCTGGGGGCCCTCTTGGGCTGTCTTGGGGGCTTCGTGGGCTGTTTTGGACCCTCTTCGACCCCTCTTGGGGACCCCTTCGGCCGTCCGGGGGCGATATTGAAGGTTTCTGTGCCCGTCTTGGACGTTGTGAAGGCCGAAAAGGCGAGTATGCGAAAAATGCTGTTTTTTTCAAATGGAATGGGACGGTTTTTGTTTCTTGGGACCCTCTTGGGATGCATCTTGGGGGGCCTTTGGGAGCGTCTTGGCAGCTTCGGAGGCCGTCTGGAGGCCATCGTGGGCGTCAAGGAGAGATATTTCGGCGACTCGTTGCCCTCTGGGACTCTGGGACCGTCTGGGGAGCGTTTTGGTGCCTTCTCGGTCCGTTTTGGAGCCCTCCGCTTCCCCATGACGCGTTCGGTCCGGGGTCATCCCTGGCCAGGGGGGGGGGGTCGAATTGCCGGTGTGGGTGTCCCTGGGGGGGGGGGATTAGGGTGGGGGGAGAATCTCACACGCCTAGAGACCCACGAGGGGTCGGCGGATTTCGCAAGTGCAGTGTCAGCTAACCCATATCGAGTGGCACCATGTGGGCCACGCGCACGCACATGTCAACGTCTTCCCAGAAGCAATGGTGCACACATACTTTTACAGCCAACAACCATCCTTCACCTTTCATTTTCAAAACCAATGCGCGCGCACTAGCTGAAATGATAAGACATCATCGCGTTTGCTTTGCCACTCTGTCAAGTGAGACGATGCGGGCAACGCGCGTGCGCATGTCGAAACCATTCAACAGTCATCGCGCACCTCCGCCGACTCTGTTAGATATCACCATGCGGGCCACGCGCATGCATCCCCGCGAACGCATGCCAAAATCATTTCACAGTCATCGCGCACCCGCCAACTCTGTCAAATGATGCAATGCGGACCACACGAGCGCGTCCCCACGGGCGCATGTCGAAGTCATTTCAAGACCACTCTGGTGTTCAAGCATGTCTCATATACCGGAAGCCTGGCCTGGGGGGGCCCAGGGCTGCAACACACCAGGGGCACCCAGAGTAAACCCGCTTTTGGGGCCTCCCCGGAGCATGAAGAAGCTCCAAGAGGGTCCACCTGAAAGATTTGCAACCACTGTGGCTCAAGCAACATCTCTCCATTCGGCGCGCTGGCTCAGGCGAGCTCCGCGGAAGGTTTACACTGGTACCGCCGGCAGATTACACCTGGCGGCACAATGAAAGTGGCCTCCGCGGCATTCACTTGCATAGCGATGGCTCAGCTCGGTGCGGCATCGACTTGTGGTGCGAAGGGTGCCGACAGCACTCCCTGGACATCGCGCAGCCAGCGCATCGTGGGGGGGCAGCAAGCCACAAGTGGAGAGTGGCCGTGGCAGGTCTCCCTCCAGACCTCTAGTGGGCACTTCTGCGGAGGAACGCTCATCGCCCCGAACTGGGTCTTGACGGCTGCCCATTGCTTTCCTCGTTCCTCGTTCTGGGTCGTGGCGGGCCTTCACCAACTGTCCCAGTCGGATTCGGTGGGGGTGCGACTGGAGGTGCAGCAGATGCACACTCATCCAAACTACGTCTATTGGGATCAGGGCTACGATTTTGTCCTCCTGGAGTTGGCCGAGGCGGCGCCCTTGAGCGACAATATCGGCCTTGCCTGCCTGCCGTCGGAGGACATCGGTGCTGGTGAAGAGTGCTGGGCCACTGGGTGGGGGAAGGTCGCCGGAGGCAGCATCCCTGACGTGCTGCAGGAGGGCGCTGTCACCACCTGGACCAATGCAGACTGCCAGTCTTACTGGGGCCTCTCAGGGATGACGATCACCGATGACATGCTGTGCGCGCAGGGCTCAAACGCTGGGGAGGTAACCGATATCTGTCAGGGAGACAGCGGAGGGCCGATTGTCTGCGAATCAGGCGGCAGCTACTTCCTTCACGGCGTCGTGTCGTGGGGAGCTGCTTCTTGTGGCGTGGAAAATTTCCCTGGAGTTTGGAGTCGGATCACTTATGGACGCGAGTGGATGGACGGGGTGATGGGGGACTGGACGGTGCCCCCGACGCCATCGCCCGCACCGACGGCTGCGCCGACAGCTGCGCCGACCGTTTCCCCAACAGCAGCACCGACTGCTGTGCCGACGGCAGCGCCAACGATGGCGCCAACCGCATCCCCTACAGATGCACCGACAGCCGCGCCGAGTGCAGCACCTACAGCTGCACCGACCGCTTCCCCAACGGCTGCACCGACAGCTGCGCCGAGCGCAGCACCGACAGCTGCACCGACCGCTTCCCCAACGGCCGCTCCGACAGCTGTGCCGAGTGCAGCACCGACGGAGGCACCGACCGCGTCCCCAACGGCAGCACCGACAGCCGTGCCGACAGCATCGCCGACCGCTTCCCCAACAGCAGCACCGACTGCTGTGCCGACGGAGGCGCCGACTGTTGAGCCGGGTGTGCCGACTGCAGTACCCACGGAAGCACCGACCGCTTCCCCAACAGTTGCACCGACAGCCGCGCCGACTGCAGCACCGACGGCGGCGCCGACCGCTTCCCCATCAGTTGCACCGACAGCCGTGCCGACAGCAGCACCGACGGAGGCACCGACCTTTTCCCCATCAGCTGCACCGACAGCCGGGCCGACAGCAGCACCGACCGCTTCCCCGACAGCAGCACCGACGACTGCACCGACGGAGGCACCGACCGCTTCCCCAACGGCTGCACCAACAGCTGCGCCGACTCTTGCGCCGACTTCTTCGCCCACCGCTGCGCCGACGCCCAGTTCTGTGCACATGTGGGCGGCCATTTCGGGCCCGTGCACGTTGGACGGCGCCTGTGTGCAGAGCGCGAACTATCCGCAGGCTTACAATAATAACGAGGCGTGCACGATTGAGATCGACGCGGAGAACGCAGCACCGATCGTCGTGGAGGCTTTCAATGTAGAATGGTACTTCGACTACATCGTTATCGACGGATGGAAATATTACAGCGGAAGTTCGGGTCCGTCTGGATTCACACCGTCATCCAGTATCGTGTGGTCGTCCGATTTCAGCGTTACGAGGAGTGGATGGAAATTTTGCGTACCAGTGTCAACACCTGCACCCCCTCCGACAACAGCACCAACGCCTGCACCGACCTCTGCGCCGACTCCCGCACCGACAGCTGCGCCGACTCTTGCGCCCACTCCTTCGCCAACCGCTGCGCCGACGCCCGGTTCCGGGAGCATGTGGGGGGCCATCTCAGGACCGTGCACGTTGGACGGCGCCTGTGTGCAGAGCCCGAACTATCCTCAGTACTACAGCAACAGCCAGGCTTGCACGATCGAGATCAACGCGGCGAACGCAGCACCGATAGTCGTGGAGTACTTCAATGTGGAGTCGTACTTCGACTACCTCCTCGTCGACGGCTGGAAGACCTTTAGCGGCAGGCGCCGCCGTCCGTCTGGGTTCACACCGTCATCCAGTATCTTCTGGTCATCCGACTTCTCCGTGACGAGGCGCGGTTGGAGGTTGTGCGAGCCAGATCGCCGCCTTCTGGAGGAGGCCCCAGCGCCCGACGAACCAGTCTTCCTGATTTAGCAAGTTCGTCAGCATACGACACTCTGGTTTTTGCCGTTTTCCGCGCCGGCTTAGTGGACGAACCAGCCGCACACGGCTTCGATAGCTCTGTCAAAAGACTTCATCAGCTTTAACTTCGATCAACCTCGATAGTTTACTAGTCATGACGTCGATAGCTTCGATAGGCGATGTTCTTTACACCGACCTCCCAGAGAGCGGATGGCTCCTTCTCTGCCGTGTCGGCACGGCGAGGAGTCCATGGGAGCGTCGCAGCGTCGTTCGAGGATGCGTAGACGCGAGACTACCTCGTCCTCTGCCAGCCGACGATGGTGCATTTTCGATATGCTTGCGACAGTGCTGTTTTTGTTTTCCGCGCTCGTGGGCGCCAGTCAAGTTCACTGAGCCTCGGGGCTATTCCCCCCTCCTTCCTGTGCCCCTCTCCTTCCCTTCCCCATGGTCAGGGGCTGCGGTGCCTGATCCGGGGTGTGCTCGCGTTGTTGGGTGTGTAGCTCGGCCCCTCGGGCATGGCCAGAACGTGCCTTCTCTTCCCCATCCTGACGCCTGCGGCGGCTGGGGCGCGGCTCGGTCGGGAGCAGTAATTCTGGTTTGTCAGTTGCTCGCGACTCGCGCTGCAGTGCCAATGCAGGAGAACATCTGGCCCGCAGGCTTTTTCCTGTTTGGTGGCCACCCGCCGGTGGACACCGCAGCGAGTGCGCTCCTACCGCATGCTGGGCGGGGATGGAGCCGCACTGGCGTCCTGCCTCTTGCGTGTTGCAAGGATGGCGTGTCGAGCGGAGCCGTCTTGGAAAAGCATGAGAGAAAGAGGGTCCCGCGACAGCCCAGGGGGCCCGCGAGGGCCTCAAGACGGTCCACGGTGGTCCCGAGACGGCTCAAGGGCGCCCGAGGACGTCCAAGATCGCCCCAAGGTGGCCCAAGAGTTTTCCGAGACGGCCCAAGAGGGCCCTAAGAGGTCTTCAAGAGGGCCCCGACAGGCCCCAGGGGGCTTGGAGGGGGACCTGGAGGGGAGAGTGGAGAGGGGCGTGGACGGGGGGAGGGTCTGGTGGAGGGGGGGGGGGCCAGACTCCAGGGGAGAGGGTAGGGAGAAGGGTTTGATTCAGAAGATGGGAGAGGAGATGCCCTAGACCATCTCCGCCCAGAGGGCTAGTGGGGTTATCTGCTGCCCATCACTTGCACGCGAAGATTACACCACAGAGACTGCACGACATAATCCCACCAGCCCTTTAGGGCGTAGGTGGTCTAGAGCGTTTCCTCTGCCAACACACTTCTTTCCCTTCGGGGAGGGGTTTACCCCTCCCCTTACCCCTCCCCACCGACCTGGACGAGGGGTTCCGCGGGTCGTTGGGACGTCCAAGATGGCCCAAGACGGCTCCAAGAGCGAAAAAGCGAAAAAACACAAAACATTGATTTTCTGCAGGTGTTGGAAGGATGTTGGCCTTTTGGGGTGCCCAAGAGGCGATTCGAGGCACTCTAGAGGGGCAAGGCTAATATACGACCCCCCCCTTCTTTGATAGATCTCCTCCAACATGGCCCCAAGAGCGTCCCGAAGGCTCCCAAGAGCGCCCCAAGGGCGCCCCAAGAGGGCCCCAAGAGGCCCCAAGAGGCCCCCAAGAGGCCTTCAAGAAGCTCCCAAGAGACCCCCAAGAGGCCCCAAGAGGCTCCCAAGATGGCCCAAGGCGGCTCCAAGAGTGAAAAAACGAAAAAACACAAAACTTTGATTTTCTGTAGGTGTTGGAAGGATTCTTAGGCTTACGCCACACCGCCGACCCCTTGTTTATGCCAATCTGGGGGTAGTAGAAGCTGCGAAGGGGTGAAAAGGCGAGTGATATTTGTTTGGTGTCTGTTCGCCGCCACCGCCAGAGGGTCTCGGGCAGTTCCGCGGGGAGGTCCGAGCGGACAGCGACACTGCGAGTTTTGGAGCCACTCGGGGGCCGTTTCGGAGCCTCTGGGGTGCTTCTTGGGGGTTCCTTGGGGCGTCTGGGCGGCCTCGTGAGGGCCTCTGGGGGCCTCTTGGGGCACTCTTGGGGCCCCCTGGGGCTCCTGGGGGCAGAAAGCTAGAGTTTCAACATGTTTGGTCGCCCTCTTGGGCCCCTCGTGGTGCCGTCTTGGAGCCCTCTTGAACCGTCTTGGGGACCTCTTGGGCCGTCTTGGGGCCGTCTTGGGCCGTCTGGAGGCCGTCTTGGGGGCCTCTTGGGCCATCTCGGGGCTATCTTTGGGGCCTCTTTGCCCGTCTTGGAGCGTCGGGAAGCCGGAAAGGCGGAAAAGCAAAAAACATCGAAAAACACTCTGGAAAATCAGCAATTTTTGACTCTTTGGGCCCTCTTGGGAGGCTCATTTGGGACCTCAGGGGCCGTCTTGGAGACCTCTTGGCCCGTCTTGGGGCCATCGTGGGCGTCTTGGAGCGGTCGTTTGGCTTCTCGGAGCCTTCGTGGGCCGTCTTGGAGGCCTCTTGGGGGCTTCGTGGCCCGTCTTGAAGCCCTCTTGGGCCAGGAAAAGCCCCGTGGAGCGCTCGTCCCGTACCCACCCCCCCTCCAAATCGACCGGACCGGGCTCCCGGGGGAGGGGTTTGGGGAGGGGGAAGCATCTCACACGCCGATGATCCCCAAGGGGTCGGCGGATTCTGGATCGGTTTCTGTGCGTACCAGCTCTGTAGCTCTCCTGAATCTCGAGTTAAGTACAGAAAACCGTCAACGCGTGTCAAGATGACTCGAAACAGCGAATCCCGCCGGGAGACCAAATCCAAGCGTCTAGGTACTTCAGACTAGCGCGTCTGATAATTTTCTCCCGATTTCTGTGCCAAATAGCTCTGAAGCTTAGATGCAGCTCGACTTCAGTCAAGGAGCGTCATACTCTGCTATTTTTCTGGTGCTGGAATTGGTTTTCTTGACTGAACTAGAGGTGCAGATGAGCTTCAGAGCTCTTAGGCACTGCAATGGGAAAATAATCATCAAGCGCGCTATTTGAAAGTATCAACACACCTGAGCTCAGTCTGCTATTAGCGCTAGGGCTGAACACGTATTCGTACTCTGCTACTTTCTTGGAAATGGTATTATTTTTCTTGGTTTTACTCGTGCCGCAGATGAACTACAGAGCAATGGGAAGGGAATCAGCAGGGGCGCTAGTGAACTGTATCTGGACGCCTGAGATCAGTCTGCTATCAGCGCTCGGGCTGAAAAACTAATCGTTCTCTGCTAATTCTTTGGAGATAATATATGGCAAGGAAGCTCTACGAGTCTCCCGGCGGTAACCAAGGTCGACGGTTTACCGCCGGCGCCCAGTTGACCCACCCGGCCCGGGCGGACAATGTGTGAATTTTGGGTCGGTTGGGCGAACATGGTGAAAGATTTGAACATTAGTTATAAGGACCGGTATTCTTCGCACCTGTAGTGGGTTATGCCGCGTCCGCCAGTGAAATTTTCAGGTCCGTAGCTGCAGTATTATTAGCAAAACATTTGAATGAACCGACTTTCGGGGAAAACTGTAAAACGTAATGTTTCAAGTTTTTCAGCTCACGCGTAAGAAAGCTTCCCCATGTCTTCCGAGCAGTGCCATGCGAGTTAAGAGCTCTACGAGGCTCCCGGCGGTAACCTGGTTGACGGTTCACCGCCGGCTCCAAGTTGCTCTCCGGGTTTTGGGCGCTACCAAGTTCCCGGAGAGATCTCTGAGAGCTATAGGGTATTAGATTAGAAGCCGGACGGTGGTGGTGCCTGCCAGCAGCGCTTCAGAAGCGCTTCAGGAGAGCCCCCCAGAGCTCTTCAGGAAACCTTTCCAGAGTATTCCCGGAGAGCTCTTTGAGAGCTATAAGGTTTCACAATAGAAGCCGGACGGGGGTGGTGCCTGCCATCAGCTCATCCACGGCGGTCCAGAGTCGTCGCAGAAACTTGTAAAAGTTCGCAGCGTGTCCTGGAGCGTCTCCGGCACGCGTCCACGCGTGCCTGCACGCGTGGAGGCGTGCCTGGCAGCGCTTCAGAAGCGCGTCAGGAGAGATCCTCACAGTTCTTCAGAAAAGCTTTCCAGTGTGAGTGCCTCTTCGCTCTCCAGGTTTTGGGCACTACCAAGTGCATCTTTGCTGTCCGGGTTTTGGACGCTACCAAGTTTTACAAGTAAAACTCTCTGAGAGCTATAGGGTTTTAGATTAGAAGCCGGGCGGTGGTGGTGCCTGCCAGCAGCCCATCTTCGCCGGTCCAGAATCGCCGCAGCGACCTGTGTAAGGTTGCAGCGTTTCCGGGAGCGCCTCCGGCACGCGTCCACGCGTGCCTGCACGCGTGCAGGCACGCGTGGAAGCGTGCCTGGCATTGCTTCAGAAGCGCTTCAGGAGAGCTCCCCAGAGCTTTTCAGTTCCGGGGGAGCTCTTTGAGAGCTATAGGGTTTTAGATTAGAAGCCGGACGGTGGTGGTGCCTGCCAGCTGCTCCTCCACAGCGGTCCAGAATCGTCGCAGCGACTTGTTTGAGGTCGCAGCGCGTCCGGGAGCGCATCCGGCAGGCGTCCGCGCAAGCCTGCACGCGCGCAGGCACGCGTGGAGGCGTGCCCGGCAGCGCTTCAGAAGCGCTTCAGGGGAGCTCCCCAGAGCTCTTCAGGAAAGCTTTCGAGTGTGAGTGCCTCTTTCCCCAGATAGCCTCTTGAGCTACATAGGGTTTTTCGAAGAGAAGCCAGCGGGTGCGCGTGCATCGCCGCACTCCCGCGCTCCCCGCTCCACGATCCCCGCGCCGACTTGCCGGGGCCGGCAGCGTGTCCGGGAGCGCTCCAGGTGCGCCGCGCAGCGTGCCCCCACGCGTGCAGGCACGCGTGGAAGCGTCGTTGTCAGCGCTTGAGGAGCGCTTCAGGAGAGCTTTGCAGCGACCTTCGAGCTCCGCCGCGCGAGGTTTCCAGCGCCACCACGCACGTTCAACGCATGCGTCCAAAACCCGGAGAGCAAAGAGGCACTCACGCTGGAAAGCTTTCCTGGCGAGCCTTGGGAAGCGCTTCTTGAAGCGCTGCCAGGCGCGGTTCCACGCGTGCCTGCACGCGTGCAGGCCCGCGTGGACGCGTGCCGGAAGCGCCCCCGGACCAGCTTCTGGGTCCAGCAAGTCTGCGACGAGTGGAGCGCCGTGAAGAACCTGCTGACAGGCTCTCAGATTCCCGGAGAGCTCTCTGAGAGCTATAGGGTTTCAGATAAGAAGCCAGACGATGGTGACTGGGAGCCGGCGGTGAACCGTCAACCAGGTTACCGCCGGGAGCCTCGTGGAGCTCTTGTCTCGCGCAGAGCTGCTCGTAACACGCGGACGAAGTTTTCCACGCGTAAGCGGAAAAAAACAGAAAATACGTTTTACGTTTTTCATGCAGGGTCGGTTCCCCCAAGTGTTTTGATAGTAATACTGCAGCTACGGACCTGAGAATTTCACTGGCAGACGCGGCATAACCCACTACAGGTGCGAAAAATACCGGTTTTCAAAACGAATGTTTAAATCTCGCACAATCTTCGCCCAACCGACCCAAAGTTCCCACGTTGTCCGTCCGGGCCGGGTGGGTCAACTAGCTGTGCCCCGCGCCGGAATTCCCCTAGCTCATCGATGCCGAAGAGCTCTACGAGGTATGCCTGCCAGCAGCCCATCTTCACCGCTCCAGAATCTTCGCAGCGACTTGTGAAACGTCGCAGCGGATTCGGGGGCGCTTCCGGCACGCGTCCACGCGAGCCTGCACGCGTGCAGGCGCGCTAGGAAGCGAGACTGGCAGCGCTTCAGAAGCACTTCAGGAGAGCCCCCCAGAGCTCTTCAGTTCATCAGGAAAGCTTTCGAGTGTGAGTGCCTCTTTGCTCTCCGGGTT